AAAAAAAAAAAAAAAGAAAAGAAAAATGGCGCGTATTGTCTGCTCGCATAAAACGAAGTAAACTTGACCATATTTAAAATTCTACGTCAGAAGCGGATAGGAATGCGTCGTGTCACTTATTGTTTAGATACTACAGTCGAATCTGTATTAAGCAGCACCGCATTAAGCGGTCACCCTATATTAAGCAGTCGGTTGTCAAAGTCTCGAATTTGTTTCCCTTTATCACTGTAATTTACACCTCTATTGAGCAGTCGTGGTCAGCTTTGAATGAGTCCTAAAGGCCTGTTTGTACTGTCCTCCACTTGTATTAAACGGTCATTTAGGAGGAACCACTCAAATAAAACCACTAATAATCTTTCAAGTAAAATTAAATCCATGTTTCTCTCCCGAAATCAATGTTGGTAGTATTTTTTAGCAATTTTTTGTACATAAGTGGTCAATTATGGAGTCAAATGGCGTTTTTTTTTAACGTTTTTTACATTACCCCTCTTCTGTGGAACCTGTATTTAACGGTCAACCTGTATTAAGCCGTCGTTCTCCTAGGGTGACCGCTCAATACAACCGATTATGTATATGACCGTTTGACTGTATGGAGATAATCTAGTGTCCTTGTTTTTTTTTTTCTTGGAAATTGTAGGCCTGTGTTCCGTTACCAGAGTAAGAGTTTTTCATACTGCTCATCTTTTTTTATGTTTTCTTTGTATTTAGGGGTTAGAGAATAAAGTTAAAGGCAAAGAATTTTCTGCCACAGATGAAATTTACCTCCCAGCAGATGGAGAAGAAAAAATAGAAGAACCAGCGCTCAAGAGAAGTAGGGAATGCTGAGACTGTTTTCAAAATTGTCGCTAAATCATCCGACGGCCTACGACGTTCACAAAGTGATCACAGCCACTAGGCGGCCACTTGAAAATCAAGCTATTTCATGATTGCGTGAGTTCTCAAGCGTGGTTTCATAGGATCTTCCCAATCATCTCAAACAAAAAAATCAAGGCGATCTGAAGTATTTGAAAACACAACACAACTAGTTACTGTACGACCCGAACGATCATGATGATCGGATAGAAGTAAAGAGTTCTATCGAGACGAGTATTTTCCCGATGGTCCTGCGGGTCAGTGATAGCCTATGCTGTGTTCCCGCATAACCTTCCCGATCGTCTGGTAGATAACCATTTAAGATTTAAGATAATCCTTTTTGCTGGCCGAAATCATAACTTCAGACACTTACAGAACCACAGAGGGCTAGTTTTTAAAGGTGACCGAAGCAAAATGTCAAGAAATACTTCTTGAATTAACTTCGTGGATGTTATGATTAAAAAGTCTTTGAATCACATGGCAATTTGTTTTCCTTGCGCGTGAGTGATAATTTGTGATGATAGTTTATTGAGCACTTGAGGAATTTCCGACGCATAAAATGTGTGAAAGTCGTTAAGGTATTGGTTAACTGTATTTTTGATTGAAATAAGAGCAATGATGTTACTATTGCAGGTAGATAAGATATCTGAAAATAGTTCAGAAATTCTGATACATATTTTAAAGTATGAACAATATTGATCAATATGAATGTTCTGGGAACTTAGCAACCGAAAGTTTAATCGGGAAGTATTTGTATGGATGATTATTGTGGAGTGAGAGCTGAGGCTTAACAGATACAGTGAAGGTGCAATCATTTGCTGTCTGCTTTTAGTATTTTTGTTCAAAGTGATATAATTGTAATGTGAATGAAAGATTTTCGCCATTTTCCTATTGACTGAAACGATGTGAGGAATGGTATTTTAATGAAAATGAACAGAAGCTAAGTTTATTTTCTCTGCCATAGATGTCATGCGCAGAGTCGCTATTGAATTACATTTCCCAAAGCGATGTGAGACTGGTTTTCATGGCTCCGCCTGAACGAGAAGATTTTAATGTACCACAGTATATGAATTGTCTCTTTTAGGCAATCATGGTTCTTAAGGTTATGGTTACATAGGGAAAAATTTTCATATGCATCACATGATATGCGACTGGAAGTTCGGAGGTATGCTTATTGTAGCAATGCGCTTGTCAGTTTGGTCAAAAACAGACCTCACATAAAAGCCCTGGCCTATGCATCTAACTTCAGGTCATTTAGAATTCCTAACATGTCCTTAGCTCAGTTTCGCTTTTCAGATATAAAGGTAAGCGAAAAAAAATTGCCTTCGGTTAGCGGGAGTGTCGAGTCATCTGTGATGTCATCAAACGCTTCCCCCATCCCTGAAGGAATATCTTTCCTCAGTCTAGTGTCCTTTCTTAGGACTGGCGTTCTAATGGGGAGTGAGTAGGTGAAGAGGGGGGGGGAGGGGGTGAAGCAATCTCCCGTTCACCCGTCTTCCACAGCTCTTAATAATTATAAGCTACTCCCTAACTGGTATTTTTTGAAATGATTGAATTTGGTCATTAAAATTCAAATATGCACAAATTCAAGCTTCCGCTTTCTTCAGTCTCTAGGCATTTCAAGAAATGCCGAAGATTGGTAGTCTCTTCCACGAAAAAATGTCTTCTAAATTAACACGCATATTACAATTATTTCCACATATGTGCGTTCTTGGCTTTTGCTGCGGGAACCTTCGCATTCTGAAATATTTCTTGATGAATTATGTCATCTCAAACGAAAGAAAAAAAATAACAATTATTCTCTCAGATGAGAGACTCTGAGACATGAAAGGTATACCGGCTCCATCTTCTCTGCTCTCAGTGGAAACAAGTCTTTTACTAGTGACATGTAAGTAACACAAAGACTTCGTAAAATCTCGTATAATATCGCTTATCGTGAACTCAAAACGAAACTATTTTCCAAATGTGTGGCCTTGAAAATGATCGCAAACTAAGAGGTCTGAGCTGTAGTCGCGCAAGGCAGAATTTTTAGAGCAGTAATTGACCAAGAAACAAGTTGTTACCGGTAAGTGAACCACTGTGATGTCAGCCATCCTGGACCCGAGTTGTGAAAAATACTTGTTATATTAAAGCAACCGTTTATAAATCAAAATTCCAAGTTGAGTCAGTAAAAAAAAACAAAAAGGAAGGAAAATGAAAAGTTTAGTGGAGGACCCGGGCATCGATCCCGGTACCTCTCGCATGCTAAGCGAGCGCTCTACCATCTGAGCTAGTCCCCCTTCTTAATGTTTTTATGTGGAATTTAATATATTTAAATCTCAATAAATTCACTCCTGGCTACGTCACTGCAATATTTTGCGCATGATCGCTTGCTTCGTTACCATTTCAAACATGGCTGCCATTTTGACTTGTCTTTTTAAATCCTTTCAATGGATTCCTGTACTCTTTATCAACGCAGTGATTGTCTGGTCTTACTATGCTTACGTCTTGGTTCTTTGCTTTGGTGAGAGCTCAAAATTTTAGGGCTTAAAGGCGTTGAATTGTTGATTTCGTGAGCATTATACAGTTAGTGCTCTTGTGCCGAGTTAGGAAACTAAAATTCTGCCTTCCGGTTAAATAACTTTCTTATGATCTTGTTCTCTTTGTTTCGATTTCAGAGAGTGTGCAGTCTCCATTCGAAAGAGGTAAACGAAACTCTGCTAGAGACGTTAATAAAAGTTTCGTGTGAGGAATACACGAATTACAATCTGATAAAATCAATACAACTTGCGTACTAATGTTTTTGTGAATTTCGTAATTTGATCGCTTCGAAATGTTGCCAAATTATGATTTCTCCTTCTTTTAAATTTCAGCTGCGTATTTGATCTTCTATCATCCTTTCTTCCTCATGTTGTTGATCTCATACTGGAGAACGATATGTACCTCTTCTGGTCTTGTTCCCTCGCAGGTTTGTTTAGTTTCAAATATTGGCTTAGTTGTCATCGATTTAGCAAATGGTGCTGTAATACTTTGCAAATCAGAGAATGTTCGCACTCTTAATTTGTAAAGAGTGCTGTGAAAACGAAAATAGTTTAGGATTACTTCTACCGCCGTAAGTGTGATCAGATGACCTGATCTTGAACTTGGGGATCTTAAACTATTATATATATAGGAAACATTTGTAGAAGACAACTCACAGCTGTATTAATCACGGACTTCAAAACCCAGGTTGCTCCTAACTTAGAGCCAAAACTGTTCTAAATGTTGCTATAGTTACATGTTACTAAGAATTCCCAGTTAAAGTACAAACTCGGTTGCAAAAAGCTGTTTCTTGAAAAATTCTGTACAACATTGCAAATTATAAAATTTGGAATGAATACACTTTTCATGAAATGGTTATCCTTTTTAAAAGGAGTTTTAAGACTACACCCCATATCATATATAATTAAATGTTAATCTTGTTTTCAATTTGCAGTTTTTCCTGTCAAGAGCAGACAGGGAGGCATTAGATAATGGAGTATGTAATTTACTAATTGTTCTTATTAATTTTAAAGCTATCTAGACTAAAGATGCTCCCTGGATGATGCCTTTTTGAAAGAAGTAAAAAGAAACCAAATTATTTAGATCTATGAGGATAAGAGTCATGTTTTGCCCTGTTTCAAAAGGCACATCACTCAACAGATCTAAGAATTACCAATGCAAGTTTTATAACATAGCTTCTTTAAATTAAAGAACCTGTGTAGTACTCAGCCACTGATAAAAGTTTGTCACAAAATGGTATATTTATACACAAGGAAACTTTGTTGCAACACAGGTTTTGTAATTAGATGACAATGTGTCATGAATTTTGGGGCACAAGAAATTTTCACCCTTAATGAATAAAACTGCTCAGGTCAGGAATTCTGCATCAATATTCTTGGAGGTTCACAATGTATTTGCTGATGTTTTTTGTTATCTTTTAACCTTCAAAATATAAATGATTGGAAATATATTTCCATCAATAAATTACCATCAAGCACAGTTTACTTTTAAAGTAAACTGTGCTTGATGGTAACAGATAGATCAGTAGAAATGCTTAGTAATAACTGGCCTAGTAACAAACTTACGTTATTTAAAAATTCTAGTGAATTTTTTTTGCAATAAGCATCATTAAGGATAATTAATTAACACTGAATTCTGATTAGGGAGGCTACTCAGGAGTGACAGTGAGATTAAAACAGATGTTTTAAAAAGAAAAACTTTATTTTTTTGTGATGTGTTGTCTTTCCTTTTTAGTGCACAATGTACATTTATGAAAACTGTTTTCCTTTGAAATCTGTCTCTAGGATCCTAAAGAAGTCTTAGAAAAAATATCAAGAAAACTTCCAGTTTTTACACAGACCATATCAGGAGGTAAGATCTTGATTTTATTGGATTTTCTTGTGTCTTGTCACCTCAATATTATTGAGTTTTTTTAAAATAATTAATTGGAATTCTTTTGCAGCTGCTAGGTTTTGTGATGTTTGTCAAGCCATCAAACCTGACAGATGTCATCACTGCTCCATGTGTAGAAAGTAGGTTGAACAAGAGGAGACAAATTTCATTTTCAGTTGAACAAAATTTGATTTTGTTATTTAATTTGGTAGAAAATTATAGTGATGGAAATTAGGCATTTTGGAACACTGATTAAAACTATTTGGTTACAAAATTTTTAGAAGGGGTGAGGAGGAGTTTCACAAAGCCATACGCAATTGTTAATCTCTTAATTTGCAAGGCCAGATTGATCATTACCTTTCCCTTTTAGTATCTTAACATTTCCATGTGAATTAAACCAAAAGGATTTGGTGTAACCTTATGATAACACCATTAACCCTTTCATTCTCAAGATCTTAATAGCAATTCTCCTTACTTTTGCAGTTTGGAAAGCCACAAAACACTAGAACAAAAATTTATCTTCCAAATCAGCACCCTTAATCCCCATGGAATCAATGAGCGCTTTTCATTCTACTAATTTATTCCTGTGTTCTCGTCACCATATTCCCACCAATAGCCTAGCTCCACTTTCCGCATATAAACCCACACACAACCCACAATTCCTCCAATTGCTCTGATGAAGGGCT